CCCGCCGCACGGCCGGCGTGGGGCTGCCGCCGCTCCGACGGGCGCCAAGTACTGATCTGGGCTTCTGGCCCCGTGCGCGCCTGGTGGGATTGCAAGACTGGGCAGCGGCCTGCGGTGAGCCCGCAGATAGACCGAGGGGCTCCGGCAGTGGCCGCAGGCTTGGCCCTGGCCCCCGTGAATGTTTAGAGGGGTGACTGAATGCAGAGTGGGGCGGGAGGGAGGAGCCCACTCTGGCCTGGCCTGAGCCTGCAGGAACCCCAAAAGGACCAAAGTCCCCAGGGATGGCAGTGGGCCGCGCTGGCGAGAGGAGTGAGACTGTAAACGTTGGGGCCTATGCCCGAGTGAGGAAGCCAGCCCAGGGGTTCAGGCCTAGTTTCTGACTAAAGGCGCAGCAGCCCTGGTGCACCCCCAGGTCCCCCCAGCTCCTGTCTTCCCCTCTCTGTTGTCACACTGCTCGGAGCCTGGAGACTCCGCCTGCTGAGCAAGGGGGGGTTGGGGGGCGTTAGGCCCTGGGCTCCCCACTTCGGCTCACTGGTTTCTGATCACAGCCTTGCTGATTCTAGTTGTGTGACCTCGAGTAAGATGCTTCACAGTCCTGTACCTTAGTTTCCTCACAGGTAAGAGGGACCATAATCGCTTCTTTGTAAGAAGTGAGACTGCTGTGAGAAGGTGCTTGCTTGTGCAGTGACCAGTGATGAGTCTGGCACATGGCATTCAACAGGTGTTAGCTGCTGCCTTTGTTGATAACAGTAATGGGCCTATTTCTGGGTGGGGACATTGGCCAGTGCAGTTTCTACCCCAGAGGCCACCGCTGCTGTCTGTCAGCCATATCCTGTTGCAGGGAGCAGTTAAGAAAAAGACTCAAATTCATGATGAGGGGGCGTCGGGGTGGGCCCACGCAGAGCTGGGCCCCGGGCTGGGGCCACCTGCAGTCTGGTTGTGACTCAGCCCAGGAGGAACCCTCCGCCTTTGGGTCTGCCCCCAAGTGGAGGGAATGACTCCTTGACTGAAAAGTCCTCCCCATCGCCTTCCTGGCCACGCACTGACCTTCCTGCTAGCCGGGTCCCAGTGCAGGCCCTGTGAACTCCCCTCCCCCCCATCCCACAGAGCCCTGCAGAGTGTTGAACTCAGACTCTGCGGTGAGATTCAGCAGAGGTGTGAACAAATTAGCAATGGCTGTAAACACGGTGAACCTGTATGCCGGGCTTGGGGGCAGGGCTCTTTGAAGAGGTGAAATGGAAATGACTGATTTGGAGGGGCCCTCCAGACATCCCAGCAGTGACTTCCTGGCGGAGGGAACAGCCAGTGCGAAGGCCCAGATTGGGGAAAGAAAGTTCACAGGAGACTTGGGGGTGGGGTGCAGCAGCAGTGGGGTGCTGAGGTCTGGCCTTTGAGGGGGGGTTGCTTTCATCTTCCTCAGAGTCCTCGAGGCCCCCGGTTTTCCCTGGGCACAGTGCCCATTGTAATGGGCCTTGATTCACCCATCACCTCCCAAGGCCCAGGGGGTCTGGGTCTGCTCCTTCTAGGTTCTTCCACTGCCTGCTTCACAATAAGCTTCCAGCACCTGCTTGTGGGGGGGACTGCTGAGGAGGGAATTTTGATCTGGGGTAGGAGATGGCTTGAGATCTCTGCTCTCAGATGTTAGGAATCACCTTGGAGGCCCCGGCTGGGTCCCTGCCGCTGGCCCCTGTCCTCAGACCCGCAGGGAAGACCCGGGCACTCAGGTTGGGTCGACTGGCAGGAAGTGTTTGGCCCTCCTTGCCGTTCCTTCTCACTGCACCCTTGTAGGGGGAGAAGGAGGAAGGTGGGGTGCTGGGGAGTGGGGTGATGCCAGCAGCATTCTGAGAAGCAGGTGGTAGCCCACGGGCTAGGGAGGTTTAAACGCCGTTCACAGCTCTGGCACACACAGTGTGCTCCAGAAGGAGAAGCTGGAGGCTCAGACCTGCCGTGGGAGCCAGGGTCTGGGTTAGCTTGTATGCGTCCTGCCTAAGGGCTCAAAATGACAGCCCATAGTGTTTCCAGCACTGCCTCGGTCCTTTACACCTGTTAAGTCATCTTAAACTGATGATAACCGTGTGGCTGTTAATTTTAGTGATGTCAATTAGACTGTCATTTTTACAGCCAGGGAATGTGACAGCAGAGAGGTTGCGTAACCTCCCCGGGCTTCCAGGTGAGGAGCCTGGATCTGAACGTGGGCACCCAGCACCTCATAGCTACCCTGCTGTCAGCTGCGAGTCCCTTCACGGGAGACTTCCTGAGCGTCCTCGTCGCTCTGGGCTGCTTGGACAGGGGGCATTGGGCTCCCTGTCCTGTGGGGGCCTCTGAGGCTTTGGGGGCTGAGCCCCTTAGGGAGAGAGGGGTATCTAGCTCTGTCCCAGTCAGCCCCTGTTCTCTGCATACAGAGCGCCCCTTTGTGTCTCAGAGCTGGACCGAGACGACCCCCACCTACGGTGGGCAGGAGCCTAAGGGCTGGGTGCGTGTGTGTCTCCTTGGCACCCAGCTCCTTATATCCACCTTATATCCCTGAGAGCTGTTTACCTGGGATGCGGCTCCCACACCTCGCTGTGTAAACTCAGGAAGTCCTGGTCCCCTCCGCCTCCCCTCTCCTGCAGCCCCTCTTCCCAGTCCTTGCTTCTGGGCGGACCCTGCTGGCTGGTTCTCCATGCTCACGCCCTTCTCCCTCTAGGCCTCCACCATGGACAGAGGCCAGCCCCTGCCCCTCCCCGGGGTCTGCGCTTCTGCCAGGCCCGAAGGCCCAGAGGATGATCTGAGTGTCATCCAGACTGGTAAGTGTTCTCTTATCCTTGGTGCACCCTGGGGCCCCCGAGGAGGTAGGATTGGGGGGCAGAAGTGCCCCAAAGCGGATATGGTTTGGGGGACGGAGGGGGAAGCCCTGCAGAGGCGGCTCAGCTTGGGGACCATGTGGGGGAGGGGAAGGGGAAAGCCTGATTTTCTGAGCAGGATAAGCTGGGGGTTTCTTGACCCAGATGACCTGGGCCAGTGGAGAGGTGAGGGTGGGGGTGAGGATACCAGCTGCTGTGCCTGGTTCCAAGAAGCCCATCTGGTGTGGTGGGGTAGCTCAAGGTCGGGCTGGGAGTTTGAGGGTCAGCCGTGGGCAGTGGGGAGCTGGGCCGACCCCATTCTGCCTGGAAGGGTGATGAGCATTCGTCCCTCATCATGGCAGGCCCTGCAGCCCTTGGGGTCTTGTCTGGGAGGTGCCTTTGTGATTGGGGGGATCTTGCTGACAACTGGCTGGGACAGACCCTTAAACATCCCCGGGGGGAAGCCCCAGGCAGGCCTGTGTTGGCGTGCCTCTCCTCTTACAGGTGAGACGCCGCAGGACCTGGTGGCATTGCAAGGTCCTACAGTGAGGCTACGTAGAGCCTCCCGGACTCCGGGAGAATCCAGGGGCTGTGCTGGAGGACAAACAGTCCCTGTCTGAGGACGCTTCCGTGGGGGCAAGAACTGATCTGTGTGTGAGGGGTGAGGTTTGGGGATGGGATTTCTAAGATTTACTTTTATTTATTTATGTGTACACAAGCTGGGTATAGGCCAGAGGTGCAAGGGGTGGGGAGGAGGGAGTGAGAGGGTTCACCAGAGTCAGAGAAGGCAGCAGGACGGGCAGATGGACCGAAACACACTGCTGAGGGGAGCAGCGGGCGGACAGGAGAGGGCCCCTGCGCCTGTGGTCACCTGCTGGCTGGCGATGGGACTCCTGCTGCTTGACGGTGCTGAGACGTTAGCCCCTGCACCAGCAGGGAGGTCTTGGGGGTGGGATTTTTTTCTAGGCTTTGCCCTGAGGACTTGAGGTGCTCGGATGGGGCCCCGGGCACAATGGTGTTGGTTGCCCTCTTTACCCAAGGAAGCTGGCGTTCAGCCTGGCCCTAGGACGGGCCCTGCCATCGTCTTCTCCCCTCCCCAGAACTCAGGGCCATCTCTGAATCCCAGCCGCCCTCGGGGCTGGTGAGATGCCTGGATGAAGCGGGAACTGGACGGTATCACCCGGCCCCTGCCCTCAGCCCCCAGCGCTGGTGCCCACGTGGAGTAGCTGTTTTGAGGCAGAGTCCCGGAGAGGAGACGGGGATCTGGCTGGTGGTGTGTCCACTCCCAGCCCTGATGGGAGGAGAGGAAGCTGGGCAGCCGTCTTGGGACTGGGCTGTGCGCACCTGCCCCCCCCCCCCCCCCGGTGGCTGCAGAATCTGTGCACCGACCTTGGCCGGCCGGGGAGCGGGACTGCTGTGAGTGGGAGAGGCGGGTGTCCCTGTTGGCCGGAGAGCTGGACGTGGGGAGCACGTGAGTGGGGATGACAGCACTGGACCAGGCGTCCTCCCCCCCCACAGGGCCCCCCGCCGCCTCGCTCAGGCCAGCCTGTGAGCACCCAGCCTTCCCGCCGGGAACATGGTGGCCTTGGTGGCCAGGAGCCCTGCGTCCACCCTTGGCCGGGTGATGTTGGTTTTTGGGTGGAACTCCTATGCCCGACACGCTGCCAAGGCCACCCTGAGGGGCTGCCAACTGGGCCCCAGGAGCGCTAGAGCTGCTGGTCTTGTGACGTGGGCACCTGTCTGCCAGGCCTGGGCATGAGCCCAGGGTCACGCTCACGCCGGGGCTCCTGTCAGCTGACTATTTTGGGCTCTTGCTGACCTGGGCCAAAGTCAGGCCTCAGCCAAAGGGCCCTGAGGCAGCTCCCCTGTCCCCAGAGGCCGGCTCTGGTTTCTGCTATATAAACAGAGGAGGGTGTGCTGACTTGGAGACAGCGCCAGCCCCGAGCCGCACAGCTGGGGCACAGCCTCGACCGGACAGGACGGGCTGACCAGGCAGTCACGTCTCATCTTCCCACAGGCTCCCTGAGGCTGCCAGCACGCGCCCCCAGCCAGCTCCAGGGGTCTCCCTCGGTGCTGCCGGCCAGGACGCCCTGGGGTCGTCGGGAGCCGGTGAGTCCTGGGGGTGGGTGAGCTCGGGCACGGAGGTGGCCCTCCTGGGCCTTTTTCTGGGTGACTGTCTATGCTGTGGTCTCCTCGGCCTTGAAAGGAAGAGATGGAAGAAGCAAGGGGAACTGTCCACCCAGAAGGAGGAAAGTAAGGCCTGGCCACAGCCGGGGATGGGCGTTGAACTTGGGGACACTTTGTGACCGGGGAAGCGGAGGCGTGGAACAGGAGCGGGCGACGCTGTGTCTGTCCCGCCACGGGGCTCCCCAGCCAGGTCTCGGCCCTGCTCTCGAGTCCCAGGCCCGGTGGAGCCAGGCTCTGCTCAGGCCTGGGAGGGATTCGGGGGAGCGGTCATCAGGGCACGTCGGCTCTGGCCTCTGAGAGGGCGCCTGACCCCCACCCAGCAGGTCGGGGTCACGGGCTGAAGCAGGGCCTGGCCGTCCCGAGCTCCTGGCTGCTGCCCGCTCTCCTTGCCCCGCTCCCCAGCTGGTCTTGGTGCTGGGCCTGGCAGGGCCGCCAGCCGGCTGGCCACAAACACGCTCTCTGGGCCCTGGGCCAGGGGCTTCGGCCCGCCATGAAGTAAGGGGCGGCTCCTGGGGGGGCGAGGGGGCTCTGTGCGCCTCAGTGCTCGAAAAACATTTTTTCCCTTTCTGAACGTGAGTCTTTAAACGAATCCAGAGCCTGTGACTAAAAATACTTTAACAATAGGAAAATGCATCAGTCTTTCCGGCTGGGGCTGGTTATCAGAGGGTTTTTATTTCGGAATTTGAAATTTTGCCCAAGAAGTCTGGGTGGAGGCCTCAGGCAGGAGAATCGGGTGGGTGGTGATGTTCTGCAAGGTGCGGGGGGCCTCCCTGGTGGGGGGCCTGAGGGGCGAGGAAGGAGATGAGAGGAGGGCACCCGTGAAGGACCCCGACCTTGCCTGCGTGTTCCGGCTCGGGCTGGCTCTTCTGGGCCTGATCTTGACGCCTCTGTGCTGTGCTGACTCCGCGTGGCCTCAGAGGGGGCTGAGGATTAAGAAGTGGCTGGGCCGAGTCCAGCGTGTGGCGGCTTCCTGAAGGTCTTTCTGGAGACCACGGCCCCCTGGACTGGCCGGCTCTTTCAGAGTGCTGGTTGACTGCTCGCCACAGCTAGGCTGGAGCTTCCCTGGGGCCGGGTGGGGCGCATCTCTGGACATACTTCCATTTCCTTTCACCCAGCCCTGGAACGGAGGGGCAGTGACTGCTGTCACGGGGCCTGCCTGGGCCCCCCAAAGCTCCCTCGGCTGAGGACCCTGGTGTCTCCCTTCCCTGCCATGCCCCTCCCTGCCCCGTGGCCCGCAGTCCTGGCCCCCGGCGAGTGCTCCTTTTCATGGGGACCCCCTTCCCTGAGCAGATAGAATTCTCACAGCTCCCGAACATTCCATGTCAGCTTTGGGCTGATGAAGACGGGTCTCAGCGAGGGCGGGGCCAGGTCACACACCAGGCGCGCTGGCTCCTGGTCAGGATGCCCCTGAGCCCATCTCTAGCCTTTGCCCCTGCTGGCAGCTGGGGTGAGTGACTGACCTCCCTGCACCCTGGGAGCTGTGTTCAGGGCGGTTGCAACAGGTGAGGTCGCGCAGAGCCCCGGCTAAGGCCGGAGCGTCAGAGCCAGAGGCGGACCTGACCCTGGACTCCCGGTCCCAGAGTGGCCACGGGAAGCCCCTTGGGCCGCAGGCAGTATTTCCCTGCCCACAGCACAAATCTCCCTCTCTGCTGCCAGGGCAGGAAGGGGAAGTCGCTGGTCAGGGCTGGCATAGGTCCTGGGGCTGACACGGGGAAGCTCCCAGGGCCACTTCTCAGGAGGGAAGGGTGCCCCCGAGGGGAGGCGTGGAGGCCCGTGGGTGAGGGTGATCTGGGGAAAGCAGGGCAAGTTCCTGCCTAGGTGGGGGTGGGGGGCGGCTTGGGAAAGGAGCTGAGATTCTCCCCCCCCCCCCGCCATCTCCCCCCTCCATCCTTTATCCCACCCCTCCGGGGGCGGGGAGGTGGCGGGAGGCAGTGTGGGTGTCAGTTGCTTTGTGGGGCCTGCCCTGGCCTACTGTTGAGGATGCCGGGTGGGGGAGTCAGGGCCTCACCCTTTTCCCCCACCCAGTGGTGGGGGGGGTGGGTCTGAGCCCACAGTAAACCCTGGGCTGTACGACAGGAGGGAAAGGGCCTGGTGACGGGCTGAGAAAGCACGCTGTTGGCAGCAGACTCGCTGTGTGGGGGCCTCCCTCGGGCCAGCCCCCCAGGCCCACCAGCGGCAGCTGCCCTCGAAGCAAATGTCAGTAGAACAAACACATAATGAGAAACAGCCACTGTCTCCGCGGCTTCAGAAATATACACGGGAATGAATTGTACTTAGCGCCGTCTGAATAAATACATCTCTCCCATTTAGCTCCACGTGACTGTTGTTGAAATAAACTTTTATTTTTGAAACATAAGGCGAGAAAGCGCACAGATCGCAGGTTTGAGGACTTTGGCAGCGAGAACACCTGGCTGCGCTGCGCCCCGGCTGGGAAGTGGAGGCTTCCAGTCCCGGCAGCGGCCCCCCTTGGGCATCCCTGTCTTCAGTGTTCGGGCGCATGTGGGGGGGCGAGGGGGGTTTTGTGGGGCCCTATAATAAAATGAAGACCCACGGGGCCAGAAGCCTCAGTCTCGCCTTCTGTGACGGGCACTGGGTCCAGCACAAGTGGGGGTCGGGCCTGACCTCGAGGGACCTGGAGGGCGGAGGGGAGGTGACCTCCGACCCTTGATCTGTAAGCCCGTGCTCCCCAGGAAGGGGCCTGTGAGGGCTGGTGGAGGAAGGTGACCTAGGGGTGAAGTCGTGGAGGGTCGGCGGGACCAGAGTGGGGGCGAGCGGACTGCTGTGTCTGGGCTCCGGAGGCGAGCCTGGCCCTCCTGCAGGAGAGGGAGCAGGTCTCCTCCTGCCAGGCTGCCGGGCTGAGGGGCGAGTATGGGCTGCTGTGTGCGTGGCTGTCTCGTCTTCAGCACGTCCTCTGGTCCGCACCTGTAGTGTTGGGGATACCTCTGCCATCATTACCTGGCTCCCTGCCCATTGGGAGTCCGTGCCAGGCGGGGATCAGCTGCAGTCTGCACTACTTATGCCTTCCCCAGAACTCTGCTCCCTCTCAGAGACCCAGCCCACCCTCCCTTGAGAGCCTCCGGCCAGCAGAAATGCACCTGGGGGTTCCCAGCACCTCTGGCCTTTAGGGATGCCACCTGGGTGTCTGAATGAGTGGCCCGCTGTGTTCCCTTTTCTCCTTATTTCACTCCCCACCCCCAGGTGGGTTCACAAGCGTGGCCGCTGCATTTGCTTCCCCTGCCTCTGACTTTGGGGCCCACACAGGGCGGCCCCCCCTGCAGGCTGTGCTGGGTGTGCAGATCTCGCCAGGGGCCTGGCAGCTCCTGACCACACAGGTCCCAGGGCCTCCCAGGAAGCCCAGCCCACTAGAGGGCAGGGTGGCCAGTGCCACCCTGGCCTGTAACAGCCAGAGCGGTGGGAGCAAAGGAGTGTGGGGCTCCCGGCCCGCCCAGTGTTGAGGGGGCTGAAGTGAATCTGGGCTTGAGCAGCAGTGAGGGGTGGAGGGAAGAATGTCCACCCGGCTAAGTCCTCTCTTGTGGGCATGTTAGAGTTGTTTTTATTTTCTGAGGAGAGCCCTGAGGTGGGGGAGGCACCCTAAGGTGGGGTAGCCAGCCCACGAGAGGGGGGCTATAGGGAAAGGGGGTGCTACTTTTACTAGCCCAGATTTGAGGAGTCCTTCTGAGCAAGGTGTGGCTTTTCTGCAGAATGGGATGGTTTGAATTACATTAGTAGTTTCAGACCTTTTTTTTTTTTAAGTGGTGGAATCCTTTTTCCCCCCCCTCAAACAAAAATCTCTTTTTTAAAAGATCTATTTATTTATACAAGAACTGGGGTATAGGCCAGAGGTGCAGGGCAGTGAGAGGGGAGCAGAAACAGTGGGGCGCAGAACAGGCACATGGACAAAGTGCACTGCTGAGGGGAGCAGCGGGGAGACAGGAGAGGTCTGCCTTGCTCTGTGGGTCACTCCCTGGCTGGGGATCGAACTCGAGCTGCTGCAGCAGCGTACAGCTTCCTAGTGCTGTGCTTTAACCTGTGTGCCACCAGGGAGGGCCCCTCAAACAAAATCTTAAGCAAAACCGTAAGATAAAGAACCCTTATCCGAAGTGGGGTGAGTTTCCCAACCGGGACTCAGCCAACAGGACCACAGCGGTGCTGAAGATGGTTCGGTCCATCTTCTGGTTGTGTGCTGTGGCACACGCCACAGATGGGCTCGGGGCGCAGGGAGACCACTCCTCACACCCCCATGGCAGTCTGAATGACAGAGGAGACAGATGGGTGAAGCTGCAGTTTCTTGGAAGTGTGGGCCAGAAGGGGAGGCGCCGTCCTCCCCCAGAGGGTCTGCTGTCAGTGAGACCTGGGCAGGGCTGACCGTAGGAATGGGGAGCGCAAATGGGGTTCGGATGCAGAATTTCAGGACAAAAGAGCAGAGTTGTACATCAGGCGTCAGGAGCAGAGATGACAAGCTCTGGAGGGAAGGAAGCTTGAGCTGGTGGTGGGGTGCTGGTGGTGGTGAGTGGGCAGATGTGGGGGCTGGAGACAGCGAGGGAGACCTGTGACTGGAGGTGAGACTAGAAGTGAGGAGCAGGAAGTGCACCAGGTGACAGGTGGGCACAGGTGCAGTGGAGGCAGAAACCCAGGCTGTGTTTCCGAGCAGGAGGGTTTCCGAGCAGGAGGCAGTGGTCCCCAACATGGTGGTGGGCAGGTGGCTTCCTCTCGAACACTAGCCCTCCTCCTGTCTCTCTTACCTTGCAGGTGAGGGCTCTCCAGAGTTGGGCAGAAAGTGGGTGGGGGTGACACGGACCAGGAACGCCTCCCCATGGCTGCTGCTACCCCGGCAGGCTCTCCTGCTCTCTCCGCGGGGAGGGGGCCTGGGGAGGGGGCATGAAGATCCCCTAGAGAGCCAGACAGCCCAGGTCCCCACCTCTCTTGTGACCTTGAGCAAGTGACCTGACTTCTCTGAGCCTATTTATAAAATAAGGAAGAGTTCGCACACATCTGAAGACTTCTCAGGCCCCTCCCGGATCTGAAATCGGGTCCCTTCCCTGGAAGGGCTGGGTGAGGACTGGTGAGAAATCCAGTCCAGACTGCGGCAGAGCTCATTGGCCCGCCAGGGGCTGCGAACCCCTGCCCCCGGAAGGCACTTCGCAGGGGAAACGAGGGAGGTAGTACGCGTGGTCCCGGGGCAGCCTCCCGGGCGACACCCCGCCGCGAGGGCTCCGTGCACACGTGCACATGTCGCGCCACGGGCTGAGGCGGGGAGCTGGCTCCCCAGGGGGTGTCCCTGGATTGCCCGCCCGGCCCCAGGCCGGCCCTAGCCGCCCCACCCCCACCCCCGGCCAGCAGAAAGGCCCTGGGAGGGTGCAGAGGCGGGGCCAGGCTCGGAGGGCGCCGCGGGGCCGGGTGCGGTCGCAGTTCCTGGGAGCAGCCGGAGGGGAGATCCTCCAGGGAAGCCCCTGGCCTGGGCTCCACAGCGCCCCCTTCTCTGGCTCTGGCCCTCCGGCTGGGCTATTTCGGACCTGGGGGCCCGGAGCTGGGGCCCGGGTAGGGTGGGGGGAGCCTCTCCAGCCCGCGAGCTACTATTTTTAGCCGGCATGGCAGTCGCGAGGGGACTATTTATAGATCAAACAATCCGCGCTCCCTGCGTCAATGGAACCCCGCGTGCGTCACGCGCGCAGACATTCCAGGCCCCCCCTCCTCGCCCCGCCCCCTCGGGCTCCCCGGCCCGCGCCTCCTCTCGCCGGAACCGCGCCGCCCCCCTCGCCCTTGTATGGCCAAAGCGCGCCGGCCCGTGCGTCAGAGGCGCCCCCGCCCCTCCCCGTGCGTCACGGAGCGCTTAAGAGGAGGGTCCGGCTCGGCTGGGGAGCCCCAGTGGCAGAGACTGCGAAAGTTGGGGGAGTGTGCAGGACCCGGCGAGCGCGAGAGCCACCAGACTGCGACTCGGGGCGCTGGTCCCAGGCTGGGGGAGCCGGAGTCGGCCCGCTAGGTAGGTGCCGGCGCCCGGGTGTGCGTGCCAGCTGGGCGCTCCGTTTCGTTTCGCCTAGGGGAGTCGGTGAGGGGCTGGCAGGATGCGCGATGTTGTTGTAGGGTCAGCGTGCGGGAGAGCGGGTGGAAGCCACCGCTCCTTCGGGCAGTCGGGCTCGGAGCCGGGTAGATGACCGAGATCACCCTGGAGCCCGCTGGACTTGGGGGTGCGTTGGGGGTGGGAGTGTCGGTGCAAGGTGGACTCGTCGGGGTAGGGGTGTGCCGGGCTTGACGACTTGTCCTGCAGAAGGATGACTGTCGTACAGACCCCCAGGGTGCCAGACTGAGCACACGGCACCTAGTTCCTGGGGGCCTCAGGAAAGTGGGGAGCAAAGATACCGAACTTGAGCTGCTGGGATTCCATCTGACTCCTACAACCACTGGATTTCTGAAAGTGTCTCCCCAACTTGCCTGCCCCTTCCCCAGACCCCTAGTTTTTTTTTTTTTTTAACACTTTACACGCTGTGGTTTAGTTTGCAGGGATCCCCAGCTAGAACTCGGTGGCCCCTGCATTGCTTGAAGGCATTGCCAGCGATGGTGGCTGCCGTGTGGCGGGGTGCTGCTAAGTAGACCTGCCTTTGGGGGGGGGGTTCCTGGAAGCAGGGGGAAGATTGTTCTAGCTGTAGCTTGGATTCCCTATGGTCTGTGCTGATGTGCAGAGCGGGTGCCCTTGGGGAGCCTGGATGGAGTTGCTAATGTTGGAGTCTCTGATGTGATATTACCGAGATCACCCCCCCAATACTCGCAGCTCCAGCGCCACATGCCCTCCCCTCCCCCCCAGCCACTGTTGGCTCACACAGGTAGGGTGCAGCCTGAGGGCTTGTTGGGCATAACAGGTGCAAACCACATTGTTGCCAGGACCTGCCTGAAGCCGGATTCTCCCTGCTCCCTCCTTCAGCCCCGCCTCTTCCTCCTCCCGGTGGGGCGCCCCCCCCCACCTTGAGGCTAGATGTAGGTCCATATCTTGTGTCCTTAAGTACCTGCACTAATGGGGGAGGTCAGGTTGGTGGGGGTTGATCCGGATGTGGGACATCCAAGTGGAGAAACAGGATTTGAATGAGACGCACGGCCAGCACCGCCCAGCCGGCACAGCTGCCACTCGCCTCCCAAACCCATCCCGGCTGAGCTGGTGCCGGGGGAGGGCTGCCCTATCTCCCGGCTGGGCGCCTGCGGTGGGGCCAGGGCTTCTTAAGGGGGCTCTGTGGTCCGAGTCGGTTGTGGGAGCCCGTGTCTGTTGTGGGAGCGTCAGCCCAGGGGTGCAGCTGCCTTGTGAGGGCCGGCGGCCTCAGGAGAGAGGCTGGGACCCAGGACTCCCTGGATGTCTGCCTTCGCCCCTCCTGTTGTTCTTCCTGACTGACTGAGGTTTACTGGAAGTTGCTTCGCACCGGTCGCCTTCCCTGACCGGTGAGGCCACTCTGAACTTGCTGGTGGGGCGGGGAGAGCCCTGGAGCCTTCTCTCTCCTCTCTCGGTTAGGAGCAGCCTGCGGCTTTAAAGCCCCCTCCTGTCCCCAGGAAAGAAGGTATCTGCTCCTCAGGCGTCTCAGGATTGGGGGACCTGTAAGCCCGCTGGCAGAGCTGGATTCTTTGGGGACAGACGTTCAGCTGGGGGACACAGGCGTGTCTTCCTCTCCCACCAAGGGGCTCCGTTTCCTGCACAGGTTGCCCCAGGTCTGTCTGGGGCTGGGAGCGTTCTTACCAGAGAAGCGGAGAAGCTCGTTGAGCTAGCACGTGAATTCCTCTCTGGGACTGTCTATTCTCCTGGAAGTCCAGGGGGCTGGATTCTCCTCCCCTCCCCAGCCTCCCTCCAGCACATGGCCTTTAAAGGTCTGGAGCCAGGTTACCCGATCCCCTGGGAGCAGGGACTGGGTGGGGAGGCCTGCCTTCCCTTCCCCTTGGCATCTGGGAGCATCCCAGGCAGCGCCGAGGGGGTGCCATCCCCAGATGGCAGGACTCGGGTGTGCGTGGGATCTGCTCAGTATGTAGGGTGGGGCGAGGAGGGGGCAGCACTTGGGCCTCGCTCTCAGAGCACGGGGCCTTAGCCCCCAGCTCCAGGAGGCCCTTGCCTTCTCCCCAGGCTCTGTGGAGGGAGGAAGAGGGGGTTGCAGAGGCTGGTCTGTGCCTGGGAATATTCCCAGAAATGCCTGGTTGGGGGAGCAGCCTATCTGCTCCTGGGCCCGAGCTGGCCTGCCCGCCCGCCTTTCCCACTGAGCCTTCCCCAGCCCCCACCCCTGCCTCCCCCCCCCAGCGGGAGGGGCAGGGGGCTGCAGGAACACAGCTTCCCCCTGTTCCAGCAGAGAAATGCTGGCTGGCTGCCTTCCCTAGGGTTCCCAGGCCGGCTGGGGTGTGGCGGCCTTCCTACGGAGGCCACTCTCCCTGGGCCACTGTCTCGGGACTTTGTGGCCTGAAGGTTGAAATGGTGCTCCGGCCAGGCCCCAGCGACTCCTGGCTCTGGGGCCAGCGTGGCCCTGATGCTTCGGTGTCCCGTGTCTGGCTGCGGCTCCTGCCACCTGGCTGCTCTGGGCCTGTGCTTGGAGAGCAGGCTGCAGACCTCTCGCTGACCCCTCCCCTCCCCCATCTCCTTCCTCTGCAGAGATGCCCTGTATCCAAGCCCAATATGGGACCCCAGCGCCCAGCCCAGGACCCCGCGACCCCTCGGCAAACGACCCTCTGACCCCTGAACTCAGCAAGACCACCATGGACCTCGCCAGCCCCGAGGCGACCCCCACCGCCCTGCCCAGCTTCAGCACCTTCATGGACAGCTACGCCGGGGAGTTCGACACCTTCCTCTACCAGCTGCCAGGGACCGGGCAGCCGTGCTCCTCGGCCTCCTCCACGTCGTCCTCCTCCGCCACCTCCCCCGCCTCTGCTTCCTTCAAATTCGAGGACTTCCAGGTGTATGGCTGCTACCCCGGGGCCCTGAGCGGCCCCCTCGAGGAGACCCTGTCGTCCAGCGGCTCTGACTACTACGGCAGCCCCTGCTCAGTGCCGTCGCCGCCCACGCCCGGCTTCCAGCCGCCCCAGCTCTCCCCCTGGGACGGCTCGTTCGGCCCCTTCTCGCCCAGCCAGACTTACGAAGGCCTGCGGGCATGGACAGAGCAGCTGCCCAAGGCTTCTGGGCTCCCCCAGCCACCGACCTTCTTTTCCTTCAGCCCCCCGGCTGGCCCCAGCCCGGGCCTGGCCCACAGCCCCCTGAAGCTGTTCCCCTCCCAGGCCCCCCATCAGCTCGGGGAAGGAGAGGGCTATCCCCTGCCCGCAGCTTTCCCAGGCCTGGTGCCCAGCTCTCCACACCTGGACGCCTCAAGGATGCTAGATGTGCCTGTGACGTCGGCCAAGGCCCGGAACGGGGCTCCGGGCAGCGGTGAAGGCCGCTGCGCCGTGTGCGGTGACAATGCCTCGTGCCAGCACTATGGCGTCCGCACCTGTGAGGGCTGCAAAGGCTTCTTCAAGGTACGGGTGACCCGGGGGCCCTTCGGGAGGTGGGGCGAGGCCGGCCGGCCTCACGGGGGCGTGCCAGCACCTCCTCTGGGTTCTCTGCGGCTGGGCCTGCCCGCAGGGAGGGGGCAGTCTGCCCTCCCGGGACCCGTCCGTGGCAGAGCTGGGGCCTTTCAGTCGCGGTGACCTGCAGGGCCGGGGGGGCAGCAGAGGGATGAAGAGCGGGGTGAGGGATGGGCAGAAAGAGGGCACAGAGTTCAGGGGTACCCAGGAGCGGGAGAGTGGGCGGCCGGCTCTGGTTCTCCCCTGCCGGCCGCCTCCCCTCGCTCGAGGCCCCAGTGGGAAGGGGCCGGGCTCTCGGGCTCCTGGCGTGAGATGAAACGCTCGGCGGGAGGACTTGGTGCTTGAGGGCTGGGGGTGCACTCGGGACAGGCTGTGTCTGTCCCAGCGCTGGTGCCTGCTCGGCTTCCCGGCCCACCTCCGGCCCTCCCCCAGCCCTCCTGCCCGTCTCTGGCCTGCCCGCCGGGAAGGACGGGCAGAGGCAGGCACACTGGGCCGCACAGGTACCCCGGTTGCCAGGGAGCCCCGAGCCCCCCTTACCCCGTAGGCTGGGGTCTTCCTCCTGTGGCAGAAACCTCCCCCAGTGTCCCCAGGACTCTCTTTTCCTCCCCCACCCCCTCCATCTCTCCCTCCCCTGCCACCCAAATGTTAGAAAAATAGCTGGGAACAGAGGGCGCTTTTGTCTGCGGTGGCAGCAGATCTGGACGGTGCCCTCCCCGGCCCCCCCAGCGCACACTCTGACAGCCTGTTCCGTCTTGCCCCCCCTCAGCGCACAGTGCAGAAAAACGCCAAGTACATCTGCCTGGCTAACAAGGACTGCCCTGTGGACAAGAGGCGGCGGAACCGCTGCCAGTTCTGCCGCTTCCAGAAGTGCCTGGCCGTGGGCATGGTGAAGGAAGGTGGGTGGCGGCCGGGGCCGGGCCAGAGGCAGGGCTGGGCAGGTGTGGCCCCAGTCCTGGTACTCGAGGGTGCTCCCCAGTATGCGCGTGAGTTCTTTCCCCGCCCCCCCGGCCCCCGGCCCTTCTCACCCTTCCCGTGTCTCCGCAGTTGTCCGGACAGACAGCCTGAAGGGGCGGCGAGGTCGGCTCCCTTCAAAGCCCAAGCAGCCCCCCGATGCCTCCCCTGCCAATCTCCTCACCTCCCTGGTCCGGGCACACCTGGACTCAGGGCCCAGCACTGCCAAACTGGATTACTCCAAGGTGAGTGACCACCCCGGCCAGCTCCTGCCGGCCCAGCCGGAGCCTTGCCGGGCACTGACGAGGAGACCAGGTGGCCGCTGGTGGGTGGTGTTCTGGAAGGGTGATGCTTCTAGTGCCTGCAGCCAGGTGAAGAGTCGAGAACGGGCAAGCCAGAGCGGGGGTGAGCGTCCACTCTCGCCCCTAGAGCTGACTTTGAGGGCGTGGCAGGGTGGGGTACGGCCCTCACCGGACCTGCCCTCCAGTTCCAGGAGCTGGTGCTGCCCCACTTTGGGAAGGAGGACGCCGGGGACGTGCAGCAGTTCTATGACCTGCTCTCGAGCTCCCTGGAGGTGATCCGCAAGTGGGCCGAGAAGATCCCCGGCTTCGCCGAGCTGTCTGCGGGCGACCAGGACCTGCTGCTGGAGTCGGCCTTCCTGGAGCTCTTCATCCTCCGCCTGGCCTACCGGTGAGCCGCCGCCTCCTCGCGGCCCCCCGCCCCGCTGCCCTGCCCCTGAGCCCCCTGACCCGTCTGTCCCCCCAACCAGGTCCAAGCCTGCCGAGGGGAAGCTCATCTTCTGCTCAGGCCTGGTGCTGCACCGGCTGCAGTGCGCCCGCGGCTTCGGGGACTGGATCGACAGCATTCTGGCCTTCTCCCGGTCCCTGCACAGCTTGGTCCTCGATGTCCCTGCCTTCGCCTGTCTCTCTGCGCTGGTCCTCATCACAGGTGCGCGGCCATCACCACCACGCTGGGTCTGCGGCGGGTGGGCTGCAGGGTCTTGGCGGACTCCGCCCGGGGAGTCGGGGAGGGCGTTGCGGCGCGAGGCTCACCGTCTCGGGGTGGAGGGGGTGCATGCGCTCAGGCCGACCGCAGGGCCGGGGTTCAGGCCCAGCTCGTGAGACTGGAAGGCCCAGGCCTGTCTGAGCGTTACCCGCTAACCCCAGTCCCAGACGGCGCAGGCATCTCGGGGCTGAGGCTTGTGGCTGGTATTGAAATCCGGATTATGTAGTGTAGGGACAGAAAGGTGCACTGACAGCAGCTTTTTTTTTTTTTTTAATATTTATTTCTGCATACAGAACTGGGGTACAGGCCAGAGGTGCGGGGGTGGTGAGAGGATTCATCAGAGTGAGAGTGGGCAGCAGAACAGGCCTCTGAGGGGAGCAGCGGGTGGGTCAGGAGAGGTCTGCTGAGCCGTAGGGGTCACCTCCGCTGGCTTGCAGTGCTGCGTCCGACCCCACTGCGCCACCAGGGAGGGCCGAGAGCAGCTTTTGCACGCTAAGCCCCCTCGCTTAACCTGCGCCTGGGTCAAGAGACAGACCAGCACCCGAGACCCCGCCCCTCCCCGGCCTCTCGTCAGCCCCCCGACTTCCAGGAGCCCAGACTAGCCACCGCTTTGCACTCGGTGGAAGTGGAGACGCTCAGGACAGTCTCTCCGGAGCTCAGTGTGGAGCGAGCGCTTTCACTTTTGTAAATTTCGTGGGGACCCAACTATTAGGGTAAAGTCTGAGTCGCTTTGGGGCTGACACGCCAGTGTGGTGGTTTGGGGGTCTGTATTCCTGGAGGGGTCTCCAGAACACGGCTGCTCACCTCCAGCTGTTCTTAGAACAGTCTGGGGGAAAAACCCTCTGGCCCAGTAAAAAAACAAAGTTGGAGTTTTCTTTCTTTTAAAGATCTATTTATAAATAACCTAAGAACTGGGGTATAGACCAGAAGTGTGGCGTAGGTGAGAGGATTCACCAGAGACGGAGTGGGGAGCAAAACAGAGATCTACTGAGATCTACTGAAATACACTGCTGAGGGGAGCAGCAGAGGGGTCTGCTGTGCCCTGTGGGTCACTCCCCGGCCGGGGATCGAACTCGTGCCGTGGTGGTCGCGGCTGCTTCATAGCGCTGCGCCTTCACCGCTGTACCGCCAGGGAGGCCCTGGCACTTTATTTCATTTTTGTGGCCTTGGGCAAGTCGTTGAACTTCTCTGGGCCTTGGTTTCTCCAGGAAGCTGAGGGATGAGTGTGACTGCCACCCAGGCTTCTCCTGGGACTCAGAAATAGGCTGGTGTGCGTGTGCGGGGCGGGCTTCGCTTTGCGCCAGGGAGTTTGCGGGCCAGTCTGTGGCCTTGGTGTGAGACATCTGGGGGAGGCTGGCTCATCCCGGGCTCCGGCCCGGGCGTGTGGCTAACCCCGTGTCCTCCGGCAGACCGGCACGGGCTGCAGGAGCCCCGGCGGGTAGAGGAGCTGCAGAACTGCATCGCCGGCTGCCTGAAGGAGCACGTCTCGGCCATGGTCGGGGAGCTGCAGCCGGCCAGCTGCCTGTCCCGCCTGCTGGGCAAGCTGCCCGAGCTGCGGACCCTGTGCACCCAGGGCCTGCAGCGCATCTTCTACCTCAAGCTGGAGGACCTGGTGCCCCCGCCGCCCATCGTCGACAAGATCTTCATGGACACGCTGCCCTTCTGACCCAGCCCGGGGTCGCGTGTACCGTGTGCTCGGATGCCACCGCACGTGCCTTTAGCCTGTGACCCCTGCGCCCGGGGCCCGCGCCAGCCTGGGCCCGAGCTGTGTCCCGACTGGCCTCCTCACTGGCTCTGGGTGGTCAGCAAGGAGTGCTGGTCCTGGGGGAGAGGGATGTTTCGTGGGGGGCAGAGAAGGTGACCCCTACTATTTGTCTTACCCCGGCTCGGTCCTCGCCTTCATGTTTTTGTAAGATAAACCGTTTTTAACACACACCGCCATGCTGTAAATAAGCCAGATGCTGCTGTAAATACAGGGAGAGGTTGGGTTGGGGGCAGGGGCTGGCGGGGGGGGGGGGGACTGCGCCCCAAGCCTGGGCGAGGCCTTCCCCAGCCGCCTCCCTGCTTGCTCTTCCCACCCTCCTTCCACATGTACATAAACTCACTCTAAGGAGAAGACAAATGACAGATTCTGACATTTATATTTGTGTATTTTCTTGGATTTATAGTATGTGACTTTTCTGATTAATATATTTAATATATTGAATAAAAAATAGTCATGTAGCTGAAACTGGGAACCTGTCTCTGACACCCCCACACCATACCCCCCAATAATCATCAAGAGAGAGGGGGCTCCAGATACAACTCAGATGTCACCCACCTGAGCTAAGCACAGGCCCTTTAAAAGCTGGACGATGGCATCTGCTCCGGGAGTTGTGCGAAGGCTCAAACGCCCGACTCGTGGCTGGGCCTGTGGTGGGCGCTGGCTGCCTGCTGCCCTGGCTGGCACGCTCTGGGCCTGCGCCCGCTGAGTCTCCTGTGAACCAGGAGAAGGGCGTGGCCAGCCCAGCTGCAGGAGAGTGGACGCTGCTTAGAACCGGGTCGGTGGGGTGCCTGGGTGGACTCGGCCAAAAACCAGTGTCTTCGCACCTGTTTAGAGAAGCGCCCAGCACCCCAGCAACAGGAGCCCCCCTGCCACGCCCCTTGCCTTGGCAGGCAGGTGTGGCCGGCTTTCCGTGTCCAGCAGCCGCGTACGGGTTCCCCAGCCTCCCAGTGCACCAGTTGCTTAGCTGACTGGAAAGGGAGATTCTCAGGTTCTCCAGAGGGGTTTCTGGAGAAGGGGTGGTTATGAATGGGTGCTTGGATCAAACCCAGAGGCTTCGGATGCTCCTGGTCTGGGGGACTGGAGAAGTCACCTAGCTCAGCTCCAACCTGAGGCCCAGGCCAGCTGGTACCACGCACAGGATGGCGCCCATCTCTGCACTCAGGCCTGGGCAGTCTCGGCCTCCTGGAGGACTCAGAGCCCTGAAGGCAGTGACCCTTCCCCACCCTTGCCCCCCCCCAGCCTCGAGCCATGCCCCCAACTCGCTAGAGGAGGGTGGCCCCTGTTGGAAGGAGCCCTCTGCTCCAGCCTGAGCATCAAGGGCCCCCACTCTTCCCACCCCCACACAGCCCTCCCGCCCCCACCCCCACCCTGTGCCCAGCCTCAGTCTCAGGTTCCCCGAGGCGCCCACAGGTGCCTGCCTCCAATCTGCTTCTGGGAAGGTGGTCCAGCTCAGGCCGAAGGGGCCTGCGTGGGTGGAGGAGGGGCCCTGGGCCTGTGACCACCCCAACAGCATGTGGAGTCAGGCCAGTGCCTGACACCTCCACCGGCCCCCTGTTGTAGCCCGGCATCCAGAAGGGGCTGGGGCCGTCAGATCAGTTCTCAGCCGCCTCCAGTTCCATGTTGCTCTGTGAGAAGCCTCTCTTGCTCACTGGGCCTCCGTTTCCCTGGATACAGGAACCCAGGAAAAGGGCATGGCCACCCCACATGGCTGCTGGGACTGCAGGAGAGTGATGGTGCTTAGTACCGGTTGGTGGGGCCTGTGAGAACTCAGCCAAAACACAGTGGCTGTGACTGGTGCAAGCCTCCCAGCGCTTCTGATGTGCAGTGGTCACGAGTCTGGTGGCGGAGGCTGGGTGGCCACTCTCCCCAACACCCCTGCCCAGTGGCACAGATGGACGCAGAGCAGACCAGGCCTCTAGGGGCAGCACAGGGATTGCTCAGGAGCTGCGAGTGGGTGAAGCCATAGGGACTCTCGTCCGCATGTCAGAGCCCCTGTGAGCTGACAGCTCCCAGGAGTTATGTTCCACCCCCCACCCCCGCTCCTTTCCACTCCGTGAGTGGAGTGTGGCTATTTGCGCCTCACAGAGCAGAAGGCAGGAAGGACACTGGCACCAGGCTGCCCGGGGTTAGGCGCTCAGCTCGGTTCCAGCTGCTCCTGGCTGTGGCATTATGGGAAAATGACTTAACCTTTCGTGCTTCTGTGTCTGCACCTGTAAAAGGGGCAAAGGATGGCACTAAGTTCCTGAAGTTGCCATCCTGACGCCGTGAGTAGGATCCAGGCAAAGTGTTTCAAACGGCACCCTACAAGAGCTTATTGTTTTTACAAGAGAATTCATTTCAGAGAAAGGAAATGACTTTCCCAAGGTCGCTTGACTTGTAAGTGGTGGAGCTGGGTGTGTCCCATCACTTAACAGGTCTCCTGGCCCAGGGTTTTGTAAATAAAAGACGCTCCAGGGATGGTGGTGGCTAGATTCCAGGATCCTAGCAATTGGGGTGCTGGCCTGGGGGGCTGACTTCTCCAGCCCCGCCCCGCCCCGCCCCAAGCTGGAGCCTGGAGGAAGACCCTTTCTTCCGCTAAACAACGGGAAGAACTGGCCTCCCAGTGCTGCTAGGGGCCAGGAGGGCGAACAAGGGGGCATTTGAGTCTGGTGGGGCCTCACAATGGCCACTCTGTCCCGGTTGGCCGGGGGCTGGGCCCGTTTCCGACAGGGACAATAGTCAAAAGGCAGTGACGCTGGCGGGCCTGGAATCCCGAGCGGGATTTTCCAAGGCCTCAAAGCCTGCTATTTGTCCTTACTTGGGGACCCAGGAAGCCGGCCCCCTGTCTTCTCCCACTCCACCCCCAAATGCTGGGCCCAGTGCCCAGGGGCTCCAGCCCCCTCCCCAGCCTCGGGGTGCCACTGTGACTAAGAAGGGGTGACTGAGTTCCAGGCTCTACACCCCAAAGGTCTGGGCTTGGCAGTGCTTCTCAGGCTGGGATGGAGGAAACTAGCCCAAAGCTGGACTCCTGGTCACCAGGGCTTGGTCATGGAGGGTGAGGGTGAGAGCTGGCTTCAAGGAGACAGAACCATGCCGCCCACAGCTGCGCTGTGCCGCACGGTCAGCTCTGTATGCTGGCGCGTGGCTAGCGACGTCTGTCTGTGGTCATGAGGCAACTGTGCGGGACTGGCCTGGCCGAGCCCAGTGCCCGGTCCCCCACAGTGGGCGCTGGGCTGGGGTTCCCAGGGAGCTGTGGCTTACACCTGGGTGAGCTCCAGCCCCTCCAGATCCCCGACTGTAGCAGAGAACCAGAGCCCCGGGGCCCCCAGAGGTCAAGACTGAAGGGCTGGGCTTCTGCTCATCCACCTTCCTGCCCTGCCCAGGCCTGGTCTTCAGGAGCCCGGCTCAGCCAGCAGCCCCTCTGTCTGGGGGCAGCCAGAGCCCAGCCCCAGACCTATGTCCAGTCCTTCTCCAGTTTTGGCCTCTGCTAAGCCCTGCCTTGACCCCAGGCTGGGTACTGTGTGAGTAAGGCCTATGCTGGCTAGTGGGGCTCCCTGGAATCTCGTCCCTCCTGTGCTGAGGATAAGTAGGAGTTAGTGCAGAGTTGAACAAGAGCCCCTGCACCTCCCAATATCTACCCCCCTCAGCTCCCCTGCCTCCCTGCTGGGGACATTCTGAGGGCAGGAGGCACATTCCAGGGTTCACAGCTGGACTCAGAGCTGGCCTGAGGGCCATGGGGCCCTGAGACTTCAGCTTTGGCTTCTGCTGCCCAACCAGCACCCCAGTAAATATTCTGGCCATCACCCCTGTCCCCAACACCCTAGCTCCCCTTCACCTCCTACTGGGCCCTGACCCACCAGGCAGTGGCAGGGGGGCATGTGAGGTTCCTTCAAGGTCTGGCCAGGCACTGTCCAGCTCCTACTCAGGACCATAAATCAGCTTGGCGTAGCCTCGGGGGCTGGGGGTGGCAGCTGGGCTGGGAGGGGAGCGTAGGGGCAAGGCGGGGGGAGGGGTGCCTCTCCTGGTACATGCTGCGTTAGCAGGAAGCAGTGCCCAGCTGCAAGCCAGGCGGGCAGGGTGTGACTGTCGCTGCCCTTCTAGTCTGGGTGCACCAGAGGCAAGAGGCCCCCATGCCAGAGCCCAGTTAGGGGAGGGCCAAGCAGGAAAACTGGACCTCATCCCAGGTAGCTGCGACACCATGAAGATAGATACAAGAAACCGGGGGCAAAAAAACAGATCCCCTTAACCAGGGTTGGGTAAACAACCCTCTTCTTTTGCAAGGACAATTGCATAGAATTCTCTTTGGCAAAGAACAAGACACCCCCCCCCACCCCCCTACGCCAAGGAACAGATGCACAGCCCTTGCAGGAAGGAGAGACAACCCCTTGTCCCCAGGGACAGACAGAAATAAAGCCCATTCCCCCCAGCCTGGTCAGAGGCAGACGCACAGGCCTTCCCGGAGAGAGGGCCACGCCACCCTTCCCCCACCCAGCAGCCGGGTCCCCACCTGCTCCAGAAGAGACGGGCAGACCTGCCACCTCTCAGTCCAGTCCAGGTCTGGAGGCTGCTGGCGAGGTGAGGGCTGGGAAGTGCCTGTTTCTAATGCTCTCTGCCACTCCCTCATCGTCCTGTCCTTTCGTTTCCTCTGCCACGGAGGAGGGGGGCTGGGAGTGACATCTCAGGAAGGGTGGGAGGAGGAGGAGCTCCTGACTGGGATCCTGGGACACATGCGAGGTGGGGACAGCCGGCCCTAATCACCCCCGTGGCCTTGCCGGGGCTAGAGGGTCAGCGGGAAGAGTGCTGCCTACCCAGCCAGGCTGGCCACCGTCAGCAGCCCCCAGCCTGACGTCAGTCCCAATCGTTGCCGCTGGGACTTGAGTCAACCCCTGTGACGCCACTGGGGTCAGCCCTTGAGCTCGGGGTGAACTGCAGGGCCACCTTCAGGGCTCTGCTCTTCCCTTGAGCTCCTCTGGGATGGGGCGGAGCGTGCGAGGCCCCACTCACCACACAGGGCCTGTGGCCCGGCCCCTTCCCAAGGTCTGGGGTTGGCCTTCAAGGGCTCTCTGCTGAAGGGGAAGGCGTGCGCAGGCCTCAGCCGGTTTCCATCCTCTGCTTTCAGCTTCTAGTTCCTTTTCCATGAAGCCTCCTGTAGCCCCACTTCTTCCTGGAATCCCCAACACCCCTCCCTTTCTGCCCGTCTCCTCAGGTTGCCATCCTGTGCTCCCTGCAGCTATCCTGATATTTTCTGGTGTCCAGTCACTTCCCAGTTTGATGAGACAGCACTTAGGTCTCCTTTTCTCTTCTCTCACTTTCTATTCTAGGCCACGGGGCTCTCTCTGGGATGATAGTATCTCTCTGGTCTCTGAAAGACCAACTATTTTTTTTCCACGCCGCTTGTCATGTTCTCATGCCAGGTACATCTGCTGGCCCGTCTCTTCTATAAGACGCCGAGCTCCATCAAGGCCAGGATTGAGACTTGCCCACCTTGGAATGTCGCCGGTGAAGAGTGCAGACAGTTATATATGTGTTGCATGAATCGTATTTGATCATTTAAAAAAGATTTATCTATTTATGCAGACAGAACTGGGGTACAGACCAAAGGTGCAGGACAGTGAGAGGATTCACCAGAGACAGAGTGGGGAGCAGAACAGGCAGATGGATGAAGTACACTGCTGAGGGGAGCAGCGGGGAGACAGGAGAGGTCTGCTGTGCCATGTGGGTTACCTCCCTGGCTGGGGATTGAACTTGTGCTGAAGTGGCTGTGGCTAGCTTTGTAGTGCTGTGCTTTAACTCATTGCACCACCAAGGAGGGCCCCATATTTGATGGGAAATTTATTCCATAGTCTCACTCTTTTTGACCAGTGCTTTCTTTCCTGAAAGAACTAGGGGGCTATAAAACCCAGGGTCTGAGATGCATGGAGAAGGCTCTGGGAGGGATCAGGGAGGTATGATAAGCAAGGATTGGCCAGTACCTGGGCCTTAGATAAGAGAGGTAAGCGGGCCCAGCCTCCCGGACAAGAGTGGGTAGAGAGGAGGAAAGTGATGTATGGTTTTGGTCTTGGTAAGTATATTAGGTTCCCACAATATGCATATGCCTATACAGAAATATATGTGTACCTATACATAGACACTGAAAGAGACAGAGGAAGAGATGCTATGAGGAATTGGCTCATGTGGTTGTTTATGTGGCTATGGGGGTGAGCCAGTGAGCCGATGATGTAGTTCTACCCACAAGCCTGAGAGCCAGGTGAGTGGCTCAAATGCAGTCGTTGCCTATGCAGGAAGCCCAGGAAGCCCCAGGAAAAGTAGATATTTCAATTTGAATGTGAAGGCACAAAAAATACCCAGGCCCCGGATTAAAGGAAGTGAGCAGGGAGCAGCCTTTGCTTGTGGGTAGATGAGTCCGTTTTGCCTATTCAGGTCTTGGACTGAAACTGGCCATGGTAAAAACTGGCACCTGCTACAAATGGAGGTGGGGTGTCCCGGGGAGACAGAGTTCAGGGGTGCGGTGTCCGCGGTGGTAAGGGCCCCGGCATTCGAGTCCGCGCTCTGCCACTTGCTGAGTGAGGCGAGGCAGGCCCCTTCATCTCTCCCAGTGTGCATTTCTTCACCTACTTCACAGCATTGACCGCACCAGACTGACATTTCCCGATCACAGGCAGGTAGGTAACCCAGACAGATAGCTACAGGTCTCACTCAGGATCTTGCCCTTTCTGCCCCACATTATCTGGGAGAGAAAGGGTGCGTTAGGAAGAGGAGCCCTTTAATCCCCATGTAAACAACTCAAGAGCGCCTCCTGCTGCGCTGAGCCGCAGCTTCCAGGCGCAAGGGCAAGGGCGGAGGGGTGCTCCCGGTGTCCCCCCCGGGGGTGGCGGCCCCGCCGGCCAGGGACAAGGTGGAGGGGTGCTCCTGGTGTCTCCCCGCGGGGTGGCGGTCGCGTCGGCCAGGGACAAGGCGGAGGGGTGCTCCCGGTGTCTCCCCAGGGGTGACGGCCGCACCGGCCAGGGACACGGCGGAGAGGTGCTCCCCGTGTCCCCCCGGGGGTGGCGGCCGCGCCGGCCAGGGACACGGCGGAGGGGTGCTCCCGGTGTCCCCCCGGGGGTGGCGGCTGCGTCGGCGAGGGACACGGCGGAGGGGTGCTCCCTGTGCCTTCCCGGGGATGACACAGCACCAAAAGGCACGTGCACCTTGCATTTCACTCGAGTTTTTCATAGTTCTCTCCCGTGGTCATCACGACGGCTCCCTGTGTATAGAGAAGACCATCAGAGAGGACGAGTGACATCAAGAGTCACCCCGGAAGCAAGGACAGAACTGCGAACCTCACACGAACTACGAGCCGGCGGCGGGGGCCCCGGGAGTGTCCCCACGTGACCACGACAGAGGAAGGGTCAGCCCCTCTGCGGTGTCTTGGCGGGGCGGGATCCTGCCCCGCGTGTATGGGGCACCAGCGTCTGGCCGTGCGCCCAGCGTCCTGCAGCGGTCGGCCCGGCTCGCGTCCAGGGCCACTCCCGAGCGCCCGGCCCCTCCCCGC